AATATGTACATTCATGTCTTTATAATAAAGTCTTGTTAAAACTTGAGCAGTCCACGGAAACGTTTATTTCTACGATGAACGATTGGAGTTTGTTTCGTCCACAGAGCCGTTCCTAACGATCACTGCGGCTTCAAAACGAGTCAAACTGAACTGGTTTAACAAGTTAAAGTGTGAACAGTGGCACATTAACAACCGTTGGATCGTTATTGATTATTAAAGCAGCTCCGACCTGCAGGATTTAACCTCCTGTTTGGCCGTGAGTTCACCACAAAGAAGCCATTGGGGATTAGTTACGCTTTGATTCATAAATAAATGATTGTTGTTTTTAACCTTTATGTATTCACTAGGAGCTTTGTTTGTCATTTACGCTGGCTTCACACGCATAGTTGCACATTCACACCTGGAAGCTGCCCAGAACAAACACTGTCTGATTTTTGAGCAGTCGAGGGATTAAATGCTGAATTTATACTCTGATTTTACTCCAAATTAATTCATTTCAAAGGAATTTCCAGAATCCAAAGTACAGTTATGCGAGTCCCTCAAATCAAGTTTAACTTTGGTGAACTTTGATATGCATGACCAAAAGTTAACTGTCTTTATTGTACTTATGTGTGGAGAGAGTCCAAAATTAAGGACGCTATAGCCTCTTATTAGCTGAGTGTTACATGTTATTTAGCATCGATTGTCGGTACAAACTGCACCACAACAGAGACATGGTTAACAGACAGTTAAGTGACAGGAGTCAGTGATAAACAGCCACCAATAGCCGCTTTCACACCAAGTACTTTGCTGTACTTAGTTCCCAGCACTTAGTTCCCAGCACTTAGTTCCCAGCACTTAGTTCCCCCATGGAACAACGAGCCGATTGCGTTCACACCGGAATAAGTCCCTGAGGGAAGATTACGCAAATGATGCCGCTGACGTCACTTCTTCTTCTTCTGCTTTGGGTTTACTGGCAGGCCGCAAACAACTTCACGGGGTATACTGCCACCCGAAGTCCCCGGCCGGAAGTCCCCGGAGTTGGGGACCTTCCGAGTAATGCTAATGCTAATAATGCTAATGCCAGCAAATACAATGGCGGCTTCACAGTTTTACGGGGCGTGGTTTGCAATCCGCCCAGCCAATCAGAAATTGGTACTTTTTTCTCCCCAGGAAAGTACCACCTCTCTAGCAGGCACTAAAAATGGGGGTAAAAGTTCTCGGAACTAAGTTCTCTTTTTGGTGTGAACGCAAAATTCCAGGAACTATCGGAACCAAACGGGAAAAGTACGGGGAAAAGTACTCCGGTGTGAACGCGCCTATTGTAACAAACTTCCCTCCCGACCTTTAATAAATTACGTTCCCAAACAACAAATGTCAATTAATTCAGTTTTCAAATAAAATGTTTTGTTCTAAAGTTCAATGTCTGTTTAGATTCAACAGAAATACGTTTATAACCCTAACCCTATCATATGTGGGTAACATGAAAAAACATGAAAAACAAGTGATTTCAAACCATACAATGATCTTTTACTCAACCTAACGTGTTGCTTGTTTTGTTTGGTTTCAATTTCTAACATTAAAAACTTGTTTAAAACTGCAACTGTAATGCAGAAGAAAACAAATTTACCTTGAAACGAAATTGAGGATGCGGTTTTGTTGTATGGCAACTCATTAAGTAGGAAACAGGGTTCAATTCAGGGCAAAAAAGTGCTTTTCCGTAAGCTAGCCGCTAAATCACCAGCTAACCAAGTAGCTCTTTAAACTAAACACAAACCTTGCCAATTTCTATTGTTACGTTGTTACTTTAAAACCTTTCAAGCTGTAGCTTCCCCTAATAATGTAAAACCACAGCAGTTGGCCAACATAAGTACAGAAAAGGTACATACGATACACGTAACAAATTCAAATAAACAATAGTGTGAAAGAACATGCAATGAGATATAACAAAAGAGAGTAAATATCATAGAAATAATAAGTGTTCCCTGATGAAGTCACACTGTGTTCAATTACTGTTTAGCTGCGGTAATATTAGTTTATGAGATTCCACCTTGAAAGTATGACAAAAAAAACACAGCCTGCGATTTTCATTCACGGTATTTTAAAAACTATTAGCTGTGGAGAACCTGCCGCGGCTCCCAGAGCGTGAAGTCAGTATAAACGTTATCTCAGGAACATCCCAACAGCGTGTCAACAATCAAACCCCCCACAGCTGGGCAGGTTAGCAAACATGTACACTGGCTTCCCCCGCTGTTTGTTTGGCCGTGTCGACAGTAATGTACAACTCATTTGATCCAAGGAAAAAAGGGACGAATCACGATTTTAATTAGCAGCCGTGCCTCTTCCTCGCGGCGTCCCTCCGGCAGCTGGACAAACAGTTTTTGGGTAAACATGGCGTCCGGGACGTGTGTTTGCTGCTCTGCGTCCTGCTGAGATTCACCACCGCACCGCTGCCTCGTGCAAACACAAGCAGGGATTTACCACATTAGGACAAACTAATCTTTAGGCCATGTTTAGGCAATCTCTGCTGCTTATTCTGGAGAAAGGACGCCCCCCTCTCCGAGCAGCTGTTCTGGATGTCTTATTATCCCGAAGCCTCTCCCCGGGGAACCAAGCCTTTATTCCCCGTCTTTGTAGTGACAAAGTGACTCTGCTTTTTGGCTTCGTATTCTTCCAGAAGGCCACTGACAGAAACACTTTGTCTTCTCCGGGGATCGCCTCACTTCTCCTGACGAGTCCGCGCTTCAGAGGACTTCAAAAGTGTCCTCTCGAGTTCTCCTGAAGAAGCAGCGCTAACCCTCCATGACAGAAGTCAGACATTTTTAACGCCTGGTACAACAAAATATTTTGCTAATTTCCCTATTCATGACGACTGTATGAGGGTTACTGGATGGCGTTGAGTATCATTGCTGGAAAACATGACTTGTTTTGTGCCTAACTTAACAATTAAAGTGTACATTTTTCGGCTTAGACTTGATCATAATGAGGGTAGATGTTGATGCACAATGTAATGGCTGCGTTTCGATTCGTTTCTCTGTAGACGTAACTTTATTATGCAATTCTGCGGCCACCAGGTACAATCTTCTAGGTAAATGAAGGCTGGATTTGCTTCACACAGGCATAGAAACCAACATGTAGTGTGTCCTTTGCAGTGTATGAAAGATACTAGCACTACCACGAAAGTCGCTTGAAGTCACCAGATGACATGTACAAATTGGCGACGTCATCATCACACATTATTGGGCCTTGATCTTTGGTCCTTGTGTAGCAAAAAATCCTCATCCATCATGTTCTCATAGCGAGGAAGTGATTGCTCCAGCTTCGTTCCGAACTCCAGAACAGTTGGAGGTATTTTGCATTTCTAAATAAAGTTGTCCAATTGTCACTGACACTGGAAACTAACCTAAAATGTATGTTTTATCGGCTTATTTAAGAATTCGATCACATCATTCCTTTAGATATAATTGCAGATCTGTTGGCTAGCTAACCAACGCATTTTTTAATATATTGACAAAACAGGAGGCGTGTGGCGCAGTGGGCTAGTGCACTGATCTTCGAATCAGAGGATAGCAAGTTCGAGTCCCACTGCAGTCAGCATGTCGTTGTGTCCCTGAGACACTTCACCCCAAATTGCTCCTGGGGGGATTGCCCACAGTATTGAGTATGTAAGTCGCTTTGGATAAAAGCGTCTAACAAGTGACATGTAATGTAATGTAATGTAAAAAACACTTACAATCATAATACAGGCTAACGGTACCAACAGTTAGCCAACTTTATAATCCCCGAACGTCAACAGCTCCGGTCCCAGCTTCGTGCATCACTTTTAACAGTCTCTGTGTTGTGTTTTGAGCTTCTTTCAGCTTTTAGTAAACGATGTGCATGTTTCCTCAAGTTGGGGAAGCTGTTTCTTAATTTGCATGTGTTTTGGCACATTGCATGTGTTTTTATATTTGCATAGTTTTTGAAGCTGGAGAGCGGGTCATTGTAACACGTTTGCACCAATCGGCCACCGTAGCCTGTGTGACAAAATCCACCGTTACCCACATTTATAAAAATCATCTTTATAGGAAAACAAAGCGAGCCGAATACCGTTGAACTCCTGGCAAACACCGTAACCAGACAAAACTGAGACTCAAGTGGGTGACTCATAATAATAATTACCCACTTTTGCTGCGACCTGCTGACGTACAAACACTTAATTACAGTAAGTGGCTGAATGACTGACATGCCAATCCATTCCTGCAGACGAGAACAAATATATAAAATAATTATGTATTTTAGTTTTCATTCAAGAAGCTTCATCAGAATGAATAGGTAACAGATTCTCAGAGCACTTTTCACATGGTTTATAGAACAACCAGCAGCAGATATGAGTCAAGACAACATCTCTGCCAAAATGAAATATAATGCAAGAAGGAAACAATGACATCTTCCTCTCTTTTGAATCCTGCAGCAGTTTCTTTGTTAAATGGTTTCATGCACACTGAATACAACAGTTACCATTTTAACATTGCATAAAATCTAAATGGCAGGAAGGTTTTTTATTTTATTTTATGTTTTTATGTAGATATATCTGCATCTGTCGTTGCTTCTGTGAGTCAAACCAGCACAGCGTGGCGGTGCATCAGTTCAGGTTAGAAGAAGAAGAAGAAGAAAAAACTGGGTAAAAAGCCAAATAATGATTTATGATTTCGTACACTTCCAGCATCTCTGTGTGTATAGTTTCATATGGAAATCCCTTTAGCACGGCGGGTAAATAGATTAGGATACAGTGAGGGATTAAGGACCGCCTCGCCGCTGGCCCACTAATCCCAACACAGACTGTCAACAGCCCTGACATGTCCGGGACTCCTTCTGCACAAAATGGCTCCTCGGCTGTTTAAGAAGCCAATCTAGAGACACACACACACACACACACACACACACACACACACACACACACACACACACACACACACACACACACACACACACACACACACACACACACACACACACACACACACACACACACACACACA